ATATTAAGAAAGCATTTGGTTTTGCGAAGGAAATATTAGCTACCTGATGACACAAGTGTGGGCAGCAAATTGATGGCCTATGAATTCACTGCCCTTCTGTTCTGTTCCCCATAGCACTCAGCGATAGCAAGGTAGCTGAGCTTCATTTGTAGTCTACTGTCAGGTCTGTAAAGGAGGGTAATATCTAGACTGGCAGCCATGCCGTACTGTATCGAGTTGTTCTGTAGACTGACACCAAAGCTATTTAGAGCAATGGCTCATGTATTTAAATTATACCCTTGTGATTGTTGAAGGATTGTTATGTGATATTGGAACACCCCAACTTACCGTGTGAGAAACTGGTCTCAAAATCCATGCTGATAAACACGGCATGTCTTTTAGCAGTGTGAAGTAGTGGGATAGTGTAGCTAAAATATAGGTTAGTGCGCGATTTGATCTTTCAGTTTGCTGGCTATTTCTGGACATTTTTTTCAAATGCCGTTTGACTCTAGAAATTTATAAACAACTACTGAGAAGCATATTTGATAGCGTTCCAAGCAGTTTGCAGCCATGGGAGGTCTAACAGGATTATTTTTGGGCCTGAAGGATAAGGGGGAAAAGATAGAGAGGTGGAGAAGGGGGAGGACCTGTTCAGAAGGATGATAGTCCCAGTGTATTTTGAGAGATTATGCTTCAGTGAATTTCAGCGAGGATCAATGTACAAGTGACCTTCAATTGCCAAAGGAAGTTGGTTCTGACGTTGATCACCTGCTCCACCAGAGTTTCGGTTGCAAACCTTACAATGGACAGCGGTGCCTGAGACTATCAGGATCACTGTGGCCCTTAAACATTTGTACCAGACATGAGCTGTGTGAGAGTGCTTGGCAGTCAGTGTGTGGGGAAGAGGAGGTGGAGTGAAACAGTTATGAAAAAGTGAAGGGAAGACGATATGGGATTGTCGTGAATAGGGAGACTGAATATGGCAGAGGCGTGAATAGAGGAAATCGTTGAACATCTTTAAGCATTACAACCATGTAGTGGCAGCCATTCACCTCCTCTGCAATGCCTTTGCACTGGTGTTGGAGTTACTTCCTGGAGGGTTTTCTGTCCCCTTTGAGGGAAGAGTATTTCCCTCCTCTTGTTCTCTGCCAGCTCTGGGGTCTCCATGACAACAGAGAAACTACAGCACTAACTTTAGGATTAGTATCTATTTCTTCCCTTACATGGCTCCCTTTATCTGCAATGCCAAGTGTGCATTTCCCCTTTAAGAAGTACACTGGGTGCCTATGAGGGGATCACAGATCCTACATAGACACATAGTCAACAAACAGCAGTGGTGTGACTGCATGCTTCATTCGTTACAAATACCACAGAGCACAATTGCTTCATGCTCTCTAAGATAACATTAACAGATAGGTACAGTATATTCTGCTCCCTGGTGAACATTACTTGGTACAATTTAGCTTCTAGCCACAATTCTCTAAGTCACACCAAGCACATAGGAAGATGGTTGTGGTTATTAGACGTCAGTCATCTCAGCTCCAGGACATCTCTGCAAGAGTTCCTCAGAGTAGTGTCCTTGGCCCAACCATCTTCAGTTGCTTCATCAATGATCTTCCCTCCAACTTAAAGTCAGAAGTAGGGATGTTCGCCGATGATTGCAAAATATTCAGTACCATTCGCAACTCCTCAGATGCTGAAGCAGTCCAAATTCAAATTTGACAAGATCTAGAAAATGTACAGGCTTTAGCTGAAAATTGGCAAGTAATACTCAACGTCACACAATTGCCAGGCAATGACCATCTTCAATAAGAGAAGAGTTAAACACTGCCCCTTGATGTTCAATGGTATTACCATCACTGAATCCCCCAATTCAACATCCTGGAGTTTACCATTGACCAGGAAATGAACTGGATGTGCTGTATATAGTGCTTATAAGAGCAGGTCAGAAGCTAGGAATACTGCAGCAAGTAACTCACATCCTGACTTCCCAAAGCCTGTCCATTTGCCCGGATGACTGCAGCTCAACCAATAAGAAGCTTGACACCATCCAAGACAAAGATGCCAACCTGATTGATATCACATCTACAAACCTCCATTACCTTTATCACCAATGCTCAGTAACAATAGTGGGTATTGTCGACAGGATGCACTGCAGAAATTCACCAAAGATCCTTGGACAACACCTTACAAACCCATGAGGAAGGACATGGACAGCAGAAACATGGGAACATCACCTGCAAATTCCTCTCCATGGCACTCACCATCCCGACTCGGAAGTATATTGCTATTCCTTCATTGTTATTTGGACAAAATCCTGGAAATCCCTCCCAGGCAGCACTGTGGATCTACCCGCAGTACATGGATGCAGCGGTTTAAGAAGGCAGCTCACCACCACCTTCTCAAGGACAATAAATAAATGCTGACCCAACCAGTGATGCCCATTTCCCCTGAGTGAATTAGAAAAAAATTTCCAGGAACTGCAATGATGTGTGCATTTCGGGTGTTGCTTGACTCATTTGAGCAGCTAAAATGTACCTCGTGGCATGCAGAAAGTATCAAGTTGCTTAATTGAATCTCCTCATCCCTGTCAAGCACTGATTATGGTAGCAGTAATAGGATTCATTATACTTGCAAATTGCAAAGGGTCTTCATAGGTCCACCTTAGTGCTCAACAGGCAGAGAACATATACTTTTCTCCACTCTTCTGTTGGCCAATTATGTTGTAGCGCGAATGTCAGTCTTTATGTCAGCGGTTATATTAATGATTGTAGAATCACAGACTCTGGGGCCTGTTGTGCATATACCAGCTTTCTACAAGAGTAACTCGTCTAGTCATTGCCTTTTCCCTTGGTTCTGAAAATATTCTCTTCAGATAGTTGTTCAGTTCTGTTTGAGAGCCATGAGAAAATCTGCCTTCGCACACTATCAGGAAGCACAGTCCAGATTTAAACCACTCACTGCATTAAAAAGATTCTACACGTGTTGCTGTTGCATCTTTTGGCAAGTCAGCTTGAATTGGCTTCTTGACCCTTTTCTCTATGGGAATAGTTTCTCCGATCCATTCTGCCTGAATGCCTCATTGAGGTGGATATTGTTTAAACTGCTGATGTAGATAGAAAAATGCTGCTGACACAGACAGCAAAAATTGCTGTCCCTAATTGTGATGAAAAGTGCATCATTTATGTAATTTAATATCATTTTTGGAATTTAGGTTTCAAAATAGAGGCATATGAGTTTTTGGTTACTTTTATGAAGAGTTTTCTTTTAAAAAGAAAAACAGAGAGTCAGAGAATCCTTCCAGCACAGTGACTAGATCTAGCAATTGTCAACTGACTACACACCCCCTGTGTTTTAATGGAAAGCTGTTTATAATGTTTGGTTTATGAATGGTTAACCTTGAAGATCATTTACTTTATTTTCAGTTCAGAAGAGTCCAGGAGTGAATAAGTTTTAATTCTGTTCAGAAGACAATTACCTTCAGCTCAGAAGATCAGTTTAGTTTATTTCCTGGAAGGAGTACAAGGCAATCCAGGGACAAGCAAACTCAGCAGATAGGTGTAACTTGTGAAAATATCAAAGCAGGAGAGTTTGAATAGAAACCAGAAGATCAGTAGAACTGAGAAAGTTTAGGTGCTCAGATTCAGGAAAAATTCATGGAAAGGACTCATTGAATTGTCCTCACAGTCCACAGCAAGAAAACTGTAAGGAATCAGTTAATTATAACCCCAAAGGGAGGGGTATAATTTCCTTGGACTTGAGACTCTGCAATGGATATTATCAGTTTGCAACTTTGTTGTTGCTTTGTGGGTATAGATCTGCTCACCGTCTTCTATATGTAGATTGGCTTGCTTTATTTTAATTCTTCCTTGATGTAAGCTTCTTTTGCCTCATGTAAAATGCTTCAGTAACTAAGTATAATGATAACTAACTGAACAAAAAAGAAATAAAAATATGATGTAGCAGGCCAGGTTTCATTTTGTGATCTGACTTGTCCATTTGGATCTTCAGCTGAAGACAAAACATAATTCAAAATTCATAATCCATCACTCCAAACAGGAGAATCAGCCACTGAAGCCTAAGAGTCTCCCATTCCAGAAAGTGGTCAATTCTCAGTCATTGAGTATTCTCAAGTCTGGGTCTCTCAATACCGGGGAAATGAAGGGGTCTGGGCACAGAGTGAGCGGTGAAATGAAGGCAGACTATCAGCAATAATTTTATTAGTCATAGCGTAAAAGAGATCTACAATACGGAAACAGACCCTTCTGTCCAACTCGTCTGCGCTGACCAGATATCCTAAATTAATCCAGTCCCATTGCCAGCAATCAGCCCATATCTTTCTAAACCCTTCCTACTCATGTGCCCATCCAGATGCCTATTAAATGTTGTAATTTTACCAGCCTCCACCACTTCCTCTGGCAACCCATTCCATACACGCACCACCTTCTGCATAAAAATAGTCCTCCTTAGGTCCCTTTTATATCTTTCCCCTCTCATCTTAAACCTATACCCTCTAGTTTTGGATTCCCTACCCTGGGAAAAAGACCTTGACTATTCACCTTATCCATGCCCCTCATGATTTTATAAACCTCTATAAGGTCACCCCTCAGCTTCTGATGCTCCAGGGAATATAGCCCCAGCCTGTTCAGCCTCTCCCTATAGCTCAAACTCTTTTATTGAATAATGGGCATTTTTAAAGAGACATTAACCACTCCGGCTCCTTTTTTTTTGGTATTAATTGGTTTGAAACTTAATTTTTCTCATTGAAACAACATTCAAATTTGCTTGGAGGGATTTTAACAGATAACGAGAAACAAGAGAAAAATGAATGTGCTCAGTGAGGATCATACTTAATTTATCTAGTTATTCACTCAAGCAGTTGGACTTTTATCTCCTTTTTTGAACATTTCTGTACAAATTCCAAATCCAATCGTCTTTTCTTCTGGTCCAATTGGCAATAATAATATCAGTTAGCTCAACAGAGGTCCAAAGCAATTGAAATATTCTTGCTTTTCTCCAAGGCAAATTCCGGAAAGAGTTCAAAACCGCATTCTCTTGTTTCCGGGTGGACTGTCGGAATGATGAACATCTGAACAGAGCCCAGCTGAGCACAGAAAGCCGCAAGTCATTTACCACACAGATCTGCCACTTTGATAATGTTTCCAAAACATCAGAGCATGTAGCGCTTACAAATGTAACCGTGTCACAGACCAGTAACATTACTGCGAACAACACCTGGTGTCAGTGACAATTTTGCAGCATTCATCTCAATGTTGGCCTGACCGTTATTATTTCCTGTAAAATGTTGCTGCTGTAAGCTTTAAGAGCAAAAGTAATTTGTCTTGCAATGGGTAACTATTTTTGGACTTGTAAATAAAATAATTAAAATGACATCCTACTGGTAGAGAATGACATTTCTCCACTGTACTTTTTTTTATTATTCTGTGTTTGCCTAAACTAATCTCCTATGTTCTACCTCCCTCTCCTCTTGAAAATCCTAAAGCTGTTGCCTCTCATATCTGTATTCGTCTTCTCCTGAACTTCCTGCTGGAAGCTACATGATCGGATTAATAGCACTGACATAGCTCTTAATAAAGTCACAAATGCCATCCTCTGTGACTGTGACTGTGACATTGATACTATTTCACTTCATCCTTTTCAATTTGTATGCAGCTTTTAACAGTGTGGAAAACCACCAAAGCCTCTCCACTGTCATCCAACATGGATGGAACACTCTTGCATGGTTCCATCCTTATCCATCTGACAACAGTTGGACAACCATTTACAATACATTCTCTTCCTGATTCTGCTTTCTTGTTGCCCCTCATCCATTAGGTTCCACATAAATGCTGACAATCTGTGTTGTCTGCCTCACCTTCACCTTTCTTGTTCCCCTTCACTGTCTTTGTGCTGTCAGCCTGTTTGCAATACCAGGTAAGCAGAAATTTCCTTACCTAAATATTGATAAGACAGAAGCAATTGTTTTTGCTCAATGCCACAAATCCTATTCTCCTACCATTAAATCCACCCTTGTCACCAGCAATGTCTGAGGCAGAAGCAATTTGTTCGCACCCTTGATATTTCTCATTTTGGATTCCTTGTTGGAATTTACAATCGAATCTGCTTCCACACTTGTGCTTTCTTATTGCCCCATGCTACCCTTCAACAGGACCATTCAAAATGGGATCATATATAAGCTGCCACCAAACCCATTCAAGCTAATCTTCATCTCCCTTGCATCTGCCCCCTGTTTCTAAGCGGACTTATAGAGTCATATGGCTGTACAGTCCAGCACATCCATGCCAACCAAATATCCTAAATTAAGCTAGTCCCAATTGCCAACAGTTGGCCCATATCCCTCTAAATCCTTCCTATTCATGTACCCGTCCAGATGCCTTTCAAATGTTGTAATTGTACCAGACTCCACCACTTCCTCTGGCAACTCATTCCATATACGCACCACCTTCTGCATAAAAAAAGCTCCCTTAGCTCCCTTTTATATCTTTCCCCTCTCACCTTAAACCTATGCCCTCTAGTTTTGGACTCCCCTAACCTGGGGAAGAGACCTTGACTATTCATCCTAGCCATGGCCTTCATGATTTTATAAACCAGTATAAGGTCACCCCTCAGCCTCTGAAGCTCCAGGGAAAAAAGCGCCAGCCTATTCAGCCTCTCCCTTTAGCTCAAACCCTCCTTTCTGACATATCCACTTGTGCTTTCAGGCAATGTATTCTAGTTCATAACAACTCACTGTCTGAAGCATTACTTATTCCTCCCTGATTTCAGGTATCATTTTATTAATTCTCCTGTAAGTTATCTCCAAAGCCCTGACACCTTTCCCAAACTATGCCAATAATTGATCACATGATTCTGGCTGAGACCTAACCAGTGACGTGTATAGCATCCTTTCCTTGTTTTAATATGCTAGGCCACAAATATCACACAGATATTTTTAAACAGCTGTATCAACTCAGCATACACATGTACGAAGATTAGTGAACCACAATTTCTCTGTTCCTGCATCCTCCTTAAAACTGTACCATTGTATTGCCTCTCCTCATATCTCCTTCCGATATGCATAACTTTACACTGTTCTGCTTTAAGTCTCACGTATCACATGGCTGCTAATTTCATCAAACTGTGCATATGTCCTCCAAATGTTTGCTACTATCCTGTTCCTGCTACAGTGTTTCCAAATTTTGTGTCATCTTCAGACTTTGAAATTATGCCTGTGAGAAACAGATGTTTAGTAAGTATGAGCAATAGCGCAGTTCCTAATGTGGAGCACCACTGTATACCTTCCTCCAGCCTGAAAAAAAACCATTCACCACTACTTCCACATGATCATAAGAGATAGGAGCAGGAAGTTGCCATTCAGCTGATCAAACCTGCTCTGCCATTCGATAAGATGATGACCAATCTGATTGTGGGCATTGCTTCACTTTTTTGCCTGTTTCCCTAGACCATCCCCACCTGGTAGATCAAAAAGTGTCTAATCTAACCTTGTTTTCTGTCCCTTAGCCATTTTTGTATCCTTGCCCCTTTAATATGTGCAATATCAACTGCATGACATTTATCAGTACCCCACCCTTTGTGTTACAGATTGAGCACAATCTCATTGGTCAAATAAAATTTGATTTGACTGTCAATTCTAAATTCATGTTATCCCATATGACAAGTCATTTTGTGGCTTACTGTGGTTCCAGAAGCCTCCCCACCATTGACTTTAGGCTGTGTGACCTATAGTTACCACTTTTGACATCCTCCCATTCTTAAATATGAAGTATAACATTTGAAAACCATTTTAACATCATTCAGGAATGCTGGGAAGTTGGAAACATGGCTGTCTGTGGTGGGATGCAACACTGGGAGATGGTTGAGGTTGTAGACATGCTCACCAAGCTGTGGGTTTGGCTGCAAACGTTTTGTCACCCTGCTAGGTAACATCATCAGTGTGCCTCCGGTGAAGCATTGGCGTTCTGTCCCACTTCTTATTTACATGCCTCGGTTTGCTGGGGTGGTTGGTATTACTTCCGGTTTTGTTTCTCAGTGGTTTATACACTGGGTCTAATTCAATATGTTAGTTGATGGAGTTCCAGTTGGAATGCTAGGCCTCCAGGAATTCCCTGGCTTGTCTCTGTTTGGCTTGTGCTGTTATGGATATGTTGTCCCAGTCGAATTCGTGTCCCTTATTGTCCATGTGTAGTGAGACCAGTGAGAATTGGTCGTGTCTCTTGGTGGCTAATTGGTGTTTGTGTATCCTTATTGTCAATTTTCTTCCGGTTTGGCCTATGCAGTTTTCCTCACAGTCCTTGCATGGTATTTTGTATATTACACTGGTTTTGCTGGTTTTGGGTAAGGGATCCTTTACATTCGTCAGTAGCTGTCGTAGTATGGTTGTTGGTTTGTGGGCTATTCTGATACCTAAGGGTCTTAGTAGTCTTGTGGTCATCTCTGAAATGTCCTTGATGTATTGTAGGGTGATTAGTGAGTCTGGTCGTGTTGTGTTTTCCTGTTGTGGTCTATCTTGGAAGTAATGGCAGATTGTGCTTCTCGGGTTTCCATTCCTTTTGAAGACTCCTTATAGGTGCTCCTGTTCTGCTTTGTGTAGTTCCGGGTTGCTGCAATGTGTTGTGGCTTGTTTAAATAGTGTTCTGATGCAGCTCCGTTTGTGGGCATTGGGGTGGTTGCTGGTATAATTGGGTATCTGGTCCGTATCTGTGGTCTTTCTATACACACTAGTCTGGAGTTTCCCATTGTTTTTGTGTTCCACCATTAAGTCCAGGAAAGGGTTGTCGGTTGTTGTTCCCTTTTTCTTTTGTGAATTTTATCCTGGTAAGGATGTTGTTTGTGTGTCAGTGGGTTTCTTCTAGGTTTATGTGTTTAATAATCACAAAGGTGTCATCTATATATTGGACCCAAAATTTGGGTTGTACAGTGGAGCACTGTCCATTCTAACCTTTGCATTACTGCTTCTGCAATCAGTTCTGATATTGGGGATCCCATTGGTGCTCTGTTGATTTCTTTGCGTATGTTGCTGTTGAAGGTGAAGTGGGTCATGAGGCGCAGATCTAGTAGTTTCATGGTGGCGTCCTTATTGACGTTGTTGGTGTCCTGGGGTGCCTGCCTACTTGATTCATCCAGTAGTGTGACAATTGTCTCTTTGGCTGGTTCATTGTTTGTGGTTCATTCATTGTGGTTGTGTAAATAGTAAATAGAGATGGTTCAACGTAGAAGTGTCAAGTTAAGCTTTGGGCTGCAAATAAAAGTTAACATTGAATAAAAGGTCGTGTTTACCTAAAGCCTGCAGCCTCCATAAACTCCAAACGTGAATATAACTAGACAACAGTGACAGACAGTGGTGACAGGGATTGAAATGGTTGGAAATTTCCTTTTCAGTGACCGATGTAGAGAGTCCATCAGAGAATGGAAGTTGGAGAGGGTGATCCTGAACATGGGCATGAGAGTTCAGATGGAGGCCAAGTGTTAAGGATGTCAAGAGGGCAGTGTAACAAGAGGAAATGCAAGGGGATGTGGAGTTGCTCAGAGCAGGTAAACCTCACGGTCAAAGAGAAGTAAAACTGAATACTGAAACAAGAGCAGAAAGGTTGAGAAGGCACACCATCAGACAAAGAAAGCCATAGATTAATATTTCAGGTGTGACTGGAATGTTCCATCCCAGAGCTGCTAAGTATTTCTAGCATTTTTGATTTCAAGCCTCCACAGGAATTTGCTCCCGAAACATTCTATGTTTACTGGTATATAGTTTACTTTTATCATCGTTATGGGCTGAGAGAAGATTTATATCAGCCTGTGTGTGAAATGAAGTTATGAGCTCCTTTGTTTCGAGTTAATGTTTGATATGTTCCATACAGCGGCAGCAACAATGTGGGAAATTCTTCCTACAGTGCAGCTGGAGCAATGTGTTGTGATGACCACCAGAGGACACTCATCTACCATCTTAATGTCTCAAGTCACACAACGCCAGGTTATAGTCTAACAGGTTTATTTGAAATCACAAGCTTTCTAAGTGCTGCCCTTCATCAGTTCTGAAAGCTTGTGTTTTCAAATAAATCTGTTGGACTGTAACCTGGTGTCGTGTGACTTCTGATTTTGTCCACCCCAGTCCAACATTGGCATCGCCACATCATCTTAATGTCCAATCTCTGGATGGCATGGTGGGTCAGTGGTTAGTACTATTGCTTCACAGCACCAGCAGCCCAGATTTGATTCCACTCTCAGGCAACT